TGTAGGCAAGGAAAATAAAGAAAGAAACGCCATGAGATGCATGTATTGCTTTCAAGTCGACAGSTCTAATAAGCAATGTGCATACTTGAGAGTAAAACATTACGTGGTTTGTCACAATCACCATGTCTTGTGAGGTCCAAAAGTCAACTTTTGTTTATATTGTTAACTGTTACGCATGTTAAACTCAGCTTGCGTGATGCTSGAAACTAGAATGCTCTACTGCAGCCATGTGTTGGGGTCACTCTGCGAGACGGTGCGCACTTGATCAGACATACCGGCGGCGGTTCACCAAGAGCCGTATTTTGCAGTTTCATAAAATTCCAAACATAAAAATATCGGCGGCAATCGAACTTGAATAGCAATTCATGCTAGACTAAATAATAACTTTTCAGATCTATTTATAAACTAGTTAGATCAATGTTCCTGTGGTTTGGTACTAATTTGGAAGCGTATTTATCAAAATAGCGGAACGTTTTCCCATCAAAGAAAATAAATAGGTTAAATTTGTTATTTTAAAACTAATCTTGGATCATCAATGAAAAATAATTAGTAATAAATGCTTAGACTGGTTTTGTTTTCGCGTGACCACAAAGTTTCCGGTACTTAGTTAAATTTAGATTCGGAAATTGCGTAACAATAACTGTCGGGCAATGGAGTCCTGATTCCAATTGTTAACAAAACCCTTTGTAAATTCAAGGTTTTATTCCGCTTTCTTTAATAGGTTATTTCGTTTTGTGAAAATTAAACTATTCCGTTTTATATTTATGGTAGAGTGTAAGTAATTAGTTTGCAACAGCAACACTGCGGTTAACAAATAAAAATCAAATAAAAAAATCTCTAGTCACGTCAACCGGATATGAAACATTCAAAAAATGCAAAATTCCCGATAACGTGTTTGTTTTATATGAATAGTGGGCAGAAAATTAAAACTGTTTGTTTGAACCACTAATGGTGCGTGGCAGTTTAGAAAACCAACATTTGAATTTGAATAGGCCAATAGCAAAGTGAATTGATCAACGAGATTACTTAGTATTAATCTAAACTTCCGGYAAAAAACCTCTTTATTCCTACAAAGCACTCTTGGGACACATCTGTCTCCCCAGTCCAAAACATAATGGAAATATAGATCTCAGAGTAATATCCTTTTCCCTTAAAACCCTAGTTTTCTTTATTTTTGCTAGTATCTGCATTGTAGATGCTGTCCTTACTAAATATCTTGCTATATTCAGTTGAAAACTTTGAAACCGTGAATCGAACCTAAAAATTGAATTAATCAGATCTTAAGGACATTGATTAATCCACAAAAAAAGATCATTGTATAAACAACCATTGAATTAATAAGTAAACAACAGGTTTTTACAAATCAAAGTAATGCAGCTGAGATTTTTTCAGTCTGACCTTGTTTGGTACCACAGCAACGAATGTTTTAAGGGCGTATCCGTGGAAAAAAAAATACACTTAAAAGCTGAAAACAGTTGAAATTGTCTTTGACTGCTTTGGTAGAGTTAGAGTCACTCCTAATTGCGAATCCTGGCGTAAATCTTTGACTCAATAYCAATTTACATGCTTCATGGATACATGACATTAGTCTTCAGGATTTGTCAAACAACATGCATGCTTACACGCACGTTGTCTTATTCAGTCAGGCAGTCAGTAAAACGCTATTAGAAGTTTCAATATAAAGATAGCCTYCGTTTCCTTACAAAACCAATGTCGACCCAGTCAATTCCTAGTTCTATGTCTGACGTAATTGTATGTGTGCGGTTATCGCGATTACTCATTTGTATAAACATTTTTATTTTGAAATCCCACGCCCCTACGTCTTTCAGTTGACTCCAAAAACTRCGAGTGTTGAATGACGGACCGCTCCTCTAGCTAAAACCAGATAAACAAACAAAAACATTCAAAGCGAAATGACCTTGGCTTTGCTTCAAGCCCGCCATTATATCATATATTGCATATTGCATTTTCAGCGGATACATTTTGAAATATTTTACGGCGATGATCGGCACCTCGGGCATAAGCGGCACAGCAAGGCCTAACCAAGGAAACGTTATGGAAGCACGCCCCCTACTGAACCACCTACTGGACGTCGGGCACATGTCTGACTCAGTTTAGGTCAGGAAATCCATTATATATTCGTTAAAAACTCAACAAGACACACTCACGGAATTGAGATGTAAACAAAGGAAACACAAATTAAACGAATGGGCATTGGTGCGCATTATAACAGTGACCTATCCGCTAAACTTGATTGCTGATCACGAAACTTTCACAAAGAGACAATTTATTGTGGCGTATAGGTAACTGAGTAACGGAGAAGAAACGCCCTTCAGCAAAACCAGTTTTTTTGTGGTGCGAGGGGAGGGGAGGGGAGGGGAGGGGAGGGGGCGGCTCCCCTGATTCCAGATCCTTCTCGGTCAGTCTTTTCTAGAAGTTTATATCTCTTCATCGCCGCGAAGAGAAGCTTCTGGAAGCAGGTAAGATGGGGGGGGGGTTAAAAAAACGAACACAGCCAGCAATAAAATTAAACCTTTGTTTTAAACTTAGTTAGCTATGTTTTTACGTTTTACAATCTTATTCAGTTCATTTGCTCAACTCAGCGCAAATTTGGAGAGGCGGAAAACTTGATTTAAACATTTTTCACAAGTCTGTTCAAATTGTCGATTCAGTTCCACACAAAAGCACTCGGCATGTTGCTTGCCGTTGAATTGCTTGCATTTTAACGGCAGAGATGCAATCTTTTATCCCATCAAAGAAAAGGAGTGTTTCATGAAAGACAGGTTTAGCAGGTTGTATTATATCCCAGATAATGGCCGGTGTTTGCTCCTCTTTGAAAGATAAAGRGAATTATAAGCATAGTCAACTCAGTTATAAACGAAAACAATGAGCACACAATAGACAACGCGGTTGCAAACATTACTGACCGTAAATGCCTTCAACTGACCTTAAAAATCTTTCATTCTTGAATAGTTTTACATCACGAGCAACAGTTTTTTACATGTAAACAAATGACGCATTTGATATTGCATTATCGCAACAGCAACGYGAATGACAGTATTTTTCAGCATTTCGGTAACTTAGTTGTTTTACTTTTGGTAGTGAGCCTTCTCTTTGAGCCTTACTGTCCACTGTATGTACTGTTATGACTTCAAGTTTGAGCAGCCTTTTGCATACCGTATCTGACATAATGAAATGCGGCTAATCAAACGCAACTCGTTCGCTCTCCTCAGAGACCAGCATTTCAGCTTTGGAAATGAAAAGGTCTTCAGGGAAAACTCCCGCGTCGTTTCAGTGTCAGTCAAACTGGTAGAATCCCTTCCTTACAGAATACTTTCACTAATAACACTGTAACTAAATAAAGCCAATAAAGTTTGYTCGAGCGTCGTCTTTGCGTCGCGCCGTTATAGTTCGATTTCCGCGCAGTTTTGTATTGAGCAATATAGCATAGCTTGGCTATAAACATTGCACATGTTTCATTCCTAAATCCTCAATGATGTTGAGACGTCATACAGATCAAATCCTGCCTTTAATAAAAATAGCAACAACAACGTTTGTTATAATACAAAACTAGAGAAATTGCGGAAATTTTATTGCCGTCGTCACTGAACACAAAAACTATTATAGACGATTATAGACCCATAATAATAGAGTTCATTAGAAGTGATTTGGGAACGAAAAAATGTGTAAAAAATACATAAACTGGCTGCATACAAAAGCTTAACTAAAATAACAGAAGGCTTTATTTGCACATTGAGTTAAAACAACATTTAAGTAATTTATCGTGGAAATAAAACCAAGATTTTTATCTTTTTTATGTGTACTCACCGCCGCACTTCAAATAGTACATGTTCTGGTCTGACCTTTCGACCTTTTCAAGACTAGCTTTGTTACTTTGTGGCTACTCATGGATATAACTTACTTCCACGAAATGCAAGGGTGCAGTTTCCGACGTTTGGAAGATGCAGAGGGCAAACGCAAATAAACCAGCTTGTTTACCAAGGATCAACAACTTTGCTATGGACGGTTTATAATTCCTTTTGAACCAAAACACTATCAGGCACGTCGAATATTTACACATTTTTAGAGACAAGACGCTGCAACTTTATTTGATTTTTTTTAGCATATAAACGTTGTTTATTATTAAACTTTTACTCGAGTGCCAAAGTACTGTATTTGTGTACAACTTACAATAGAAGAATGTTTAGCATAAAGCAGTGACTGAATAGCGTATTTCAAGCGTACACTGTAATCTCTCCGAAACACACATATTCCAATTATAATGTTTCCGCTCGGGCACCGGTGAAAAATGGCCTGCACCTCGTGTTAATCCGTAGTGCGGAATCTCATTGTGTTTGGACGATGGACCGAGGGAAACATTAGACAGTCAGCTGTTCAACCCAGCTGCACTGGACTTACTCAACATGATTGATACTAAATATCTCAGGTTTATCAACTTAAACTCTGATAAACAAACGTTCTCACTCTCCTGCTGAGATATTTAACTTTCGCACAATATATCYACACCTAAAATTCAACGTTTTTATTGCTTCTAAAACCACAAATGATTTTCCCTCGAGACCTTGAAGTTATGCGGAGTGTTTACCCCAGAAATAATACCAATATACACGGGATCTATAAACTTGCGAGCACTGATCACCGATAAATTCCCAATAAATTCGCTTTCATATAGTAAGCCATGCGAACGTTTTGTCCCTGAGTCATCGCTTCAGAGCAAAAACAGTTTCCTCTGATACATGATTTTGACTGGCTATTTATATATCTAAATTGCATTACTTATTACGATATTGAAATACCATTTGGCTTATGGCATTCATAATGACATTCTGAAACCCGTGTTGATTGCTCGTTGTCACGTGCACCACGATAGAGGCGGGACTGGTTACCATGACACTCTTAAATCTCGCTATTTGATTGGCTGACGAGGTGACCCTTTGTAAATTTCAATGTTTGCAAATCAAGAATTATAATTTTGGATTTATGTAAGTGTTCGGCCTTTTTCGACTGCAGTATTGCGAAGACGGTCGTGTTTTGAACGACTCTTCAAGAATACAGACAAGCAGGTTATCTGCTTTGTTGCAGAGTTCTAAGGTATTTTGAGTTATTGGTACTGGTTTATTGCCGCGCTCTACACTACGTTGTTCAGTTGAATTCATTCATTCATCACCCTACTTTAGTCAAAATTTTGAATTAATTAGAGCTTTAAATTGGACAGCAATTTGCCGAAAATTATTACTGATTCTGAGTGATATCTTTTAGGGAGAGCTACAGCCCTAATCATTGCCAATTAATTTTACGAACTTTTGATCATTCATTCACGTTGTAAATTGATCGATCATTCATTCTCCGTTTGGGGGAGGAGTGCTGACTGTATGTTCTAGTATTTCCGTTTTCTCACTTTCGTTATGTATTTTGTTTAGGATGGCGGCTCTTGTGGAACTTAACAGGCCGTTTGAATTGGAAAATGATCAGGACGTGTCTTTCTTTTTTCATTCTGGTAAAGAGGACAGTGGTGACTCGGACTCTCTTCACTCTACGGTACCCACTATGGACATATGGAAAAAGTTTGAACTTCTACCAACTCCTCCAAGATCTCCTTCACGTAGTAGCGATTCACCGGTTCCTATTGACAGTTCTGTCGTTGCCGATACTCTACAAATCGTCTCCGAGATTCTAGACGAAGACGACGCACAACCACAAGTGCAATCAGACAAGAACTGTAGTCTGCGATCCAAGTTAATTCAGGATTGTATGTGGAGTCTTGCTTATGACTCATTCGACCTAGGAAAAGTGCTAACTTGTCCGGAAGACTTATACGAGACTCCATGCTCTACACCACCACCTGTAGAATATGTGAGCACAGACTGCGTCGATCCTGCTACCGTATTTCCTTACCCGATCAATGACACTCAAAGTTTGTGCAGTAGCCATACCAGTGACTCCGGTGAGTAAAGGTGATGTGTTTGTTGAGTTATAAGAGGAAGTTAGGTAATCCGTCTATTATTCCATAGAAAATTCATTTTCTCCTCATTAGAACTTATTTATTCGCTAGATCTTAAACGATTTGATCAAGCGTTCGAAAGTGTCATGTCYATTTCTTTTCGCGCCACGCTGACGGGTTTGTAAATTTTCATTCACAGAGGAGGAAATCGACGTGGTTACTATAGAAAAACCGAAGCGACGGCTTTCCGCAAACACAGACGAGCCCCCATTGAAACGACACAAACCTGTTGCTTCAAGATCAAAATCGTTTTCTTCGCAAAAGAAATCCAAAGAAGTTAAACGGCAAGCGAGTAGCGGATCCGACGAGGAAGACTGTGAAAATAAACGAGCAGTACACAATGTTCTTGAACGGAAACGAAGGAATGATCTCAAGACAAGTTTTCATCTACTGCGGGCCGAGGTCCCAGAGATTGAAGATAACGAACGATCACCTAAAGTAGTTATTCTCAGAAAAGCTAAAGACTATGTGGAACAACTGAAGATAGACGAAGCAAGACTTCGAAAAGAATTGGACAAGGAAAACAAAAAGAATAAAGAACTATCAAACAAATTGTCAGCGTTGCGGTCGACCAGGAGAACCTGCACTTCGACCTGAAAATTGATGAATCCTCGCCTTTACACATTGTAAATACAATCATGTAGACGATCTTTCGACTTGAACTAAAAGCAACATAGTAAGCATTAATATATAAGATTTGTTGATTACATTCAGTGATCGTTTATTGCGTAATAGCTTGAACCAAACTTCTGGTAGACTTAAGTTGTCGATATATGCTCCTACGTGTACTACAAATAATAATATGTGCTATCAAGAAAAAATTATCATATGACTCGAGAAACGTGTTCGGTCTGTAAAAAATTTAGCCAGATTTAATATTTAGAATCGAAGTCATTGTAAATACAGAGTGGTTTCCTTCTAGATTGCTCAATTTGTATAGATTTTTCACACCAGAAGATCGGATGAATGGAGAAATTTGCATAATCACAAGAAAGCGCGCGAAAAAAAGGTGTTCTAAATTTGCATACGATTTATACATACCTGTTGGACGCCTGAATTAATATTTGAAGCTCGCTTCTAGAAAGAATTATTGACCCCTAGGTAAATGATAGGGATGTTTAGATAGTTTAGGAAAAAATGCTGTTAATTTTTGCTTGAATTCCAGATATGCTATTTTACTATGTAAAACGTTTGGTAATGCCAAGTTGGCTTTGGAAGAAAGGAAATTGTGTGATTTGAAACAAACTGAATGAGAATTGGAGTGATAAAATTCCAACAGTCCCTTTTGGTATCACATAGGTAAATTTATCAAGATGAGCCTGTCTTTTGCCTTCTTTTCCATTAAATAATGATTATATCTTGAAACATTGCTACATTTAGTAGCTTAACTTTGATCAAAAGAAAACAATTTTTCTGAGTAAGTTATATCATGATTTATRTTTGTTCTAGTTAATTGGAAATGACGATAATATATTGCCCTTTGAAATAAAGATGTTGGGTAGAATTATACCAGTTGTTTTGTGTGGTTTTAGTAATATAGTCCTCTCTATTAACTATGTATGGTGGTTGCTATTTGATCCTGACTTACATACCGAAATAAGTATTTCAAAAGAAAAAAAATCAATTGTATTCGTTCAATTAAGAAATAATTGAATAGAACAGAGGCCTTCAAGTTTGCACCCTCTAGCATTTATGACAGCGAGTGCCGAAGGGGGGTCCAAAATAGTCTGCATACATATTGGGCAAGAGCATAACAAAATTAAATTTTCGCAAACCTAGTCCACAGTTCGAAGATAAATCTCTTGCCTGGTTTTCCTGTTTTATCGTGCAATGTTTAGAAAAACCTTTCTTATTTTTGGAATGCATTTGGAATTTTCCGCTTAGCTAGTTCTCGTGCATCAAATGCCACTTATCAAAAAGACGGAGCGTGGGAACAGTTGTACTCTTGCATATTTGCCGTATGAAGCATTTCCGGTTGTTCGGGATGCGATGTTACAAGAGCTTGTTTTATTAAAAAAATGATAATTTTCGACAGTATAAACTTCAAGAGATAGGTTTGAAAGACATTTCGCCATATTGTTGACTGTGTATCGTCATTGTTGGTGAATGAAATTGATGTGCTACACGTCCGCTACTTGGCAACCAGCGAAGTTGTTCTGCTAAAATATTTGGAGATTATTCCAAGGGAGAAAAAACGTATCTGGTTATGTCAAGACATACTTATTACTCCAAGGGTCGTGCTGAGAGCCCTTGTTTTTTTCAATGACCTAATAGATTCACAGCTTTTGGAGCTGGTTAATAAAGCACTCAAGTGCATTGCCGTCACGCAATCTAGAGAGGAAGTCGAAATAACCATAGCGCGTGACAAAAGTGAAACATTGAAATGAGACTTCGGGTTTCTGTCTGCGAAGAATGCCATAAAAACGTTTCACAGCGGTTTGTTGTTTCAGTTTCTAGATGTACTATTTAAAGCTTGAATATTTCCTGTCTTTGATTACAAATATCTTCAAAGTTTTCTTTGGTGTTATCGCTTTGTAAAAATGTTTTTTCTATTGCTTAACCCCCTAAAACCTTTAAGAATGGTTAGATTTCTAGCTTTACTGGCCAATTTTTCTTATTACTACTTATAAACCGGCTACTTTACAAACATACTTTTTTAAGGTCTTGATTCTTTTTATTAAAATTCTTAATCAATATRAGTCATTTTGCGCTGGCGTCGGTATCGAATTTCTGAATGTCTGTTTAGGATTTTAAAACATTGTTATTCTAAGAATGATTTTTGAATGGCTTGTTGAAGCAATATTTATAGAAATCCTACTTAGTGTTATTTCAATAACAAAAAACTTTGAAGAAGTTTTGTAAAAAAAAATCCGCAAAATATTTGTCAACTGTAGTGAAATTAACTCTGATGATAACCTCTGTCCYCTGTGCTATTCTTGTAGGGACTTAACTTTGATGTTCTGGTTTGGATTTTGGACAGCAATGCTAAAATTTGGCAATTATTTCTAACTCTAAAACCACTTAACGTTAAGTACAATGGATTTTATATCTAAAATTGTATAAAATATGGCTAAAATCGTTTTATTTCTTACAAATTACCATGACTGTGTGATATACTCCAGTTACGGATTTATCAGATTTGTTACTTGTGAAATTCAACTAAAACAGCTAATTGTTTACTATGTCTGATCAAGAAGAGAAGTGTTTGTCAACAAACGAAAACTCAAGCTTAAACTACCAACAATTAAGGGATAGTTTTGCGTAAAAATAACTAAAAAAATATGTTGAATAACGTGGAGGAATGAAGTTTTGCGTCAACAGAGTATCCAGGCTAAGTTAACGAATACCTGGTGAACGAACACGACATAGCCTTGTTGGTCAAGGATTTTCCTTGTCATATTTTATGTTGATATAGTAAATGTAAAATTCTCTTCCTTGTGATTACATTCCTGTTACGTCGAACAGTTGACATACATTAACAAGTGTGTTAGCTTTAATTTTATCAATCGTAGCATAAATATTCGGCGCAACAAAAGAATTCAGTGGTTTCCGAAACATTACAAGGTAGTCATTCATCGATTGTCATAAACCAACTTATCAGTCATCCAGCCATAATTCGTGAGACATGGTGTTTGACATACCATTACCTCACACAGCGTTCCAAGCGCATTTCTTTGAAATTTAAATATTGGATTGGACTGGACTGGAATTGCTACTGTTGCAAAATTTTACGTAAATCATCACCGTTCTGCAAAATTTTTGAATCAGCTGTTTACTGCAAAAAAATTGTACTGAGCAGACTRGAATTTTAGAATGATCACAGCTAAGCAGTATATTTAGGAAATATAAAACGGAGCGCGTGTCCCTGTTCTCTGATAAAACAAGGTGGGAACACCGTTTAACCATATATCAGAGGACAGAGACACTAGCGGCCGTTGTATAGTTCTTTTATAAAATTATTCTGCTTTWTTCGAGCGAAAAACAAATTTTTACGGTAAGCCGTGTCCCTGTCCTCTGATATAAACACGGTCGTCAGCCAATCAGAGCGCGCGTTGTATATCAAAAATTTTATAATACATAATAAATCCGGGCAACATACAGATATTAGAATTTGTTCCCGAAATCAATTACTTAGTAACGAATTGCTGAAAAAACTCTATTGATCAATACATAATACCCCTGTTAGACTCGAACTCTCGTTTAAAGATGGGCATTTTGTGCGGTTCTGCCCTTAATCTGGAAGAAATGAATAGGCGAGGTCTCTCTTTGGTCTCCCTTAGAAAAAATACATGTTACACAAGCGCTTTCATCAAAACGCCATTCTTCGTTTTCCTCAAACCAAGCTGTAGTCCTGCACGGGTGTGCGCGGTCTTTCAGTGATACCTTAACTTTTTACGAATCGTGTTTGGCCCCCTGGTGTACGTGACCTTAGTACGGATTAACTCTGATCGTCATATTTATATATCTTTATAAACACTCTACGAACACCGCATGCAGTCTTTGCATGAGTTGTTATCATCAAGTGATCCGATTGTACTTGACTAAAATGCCGATATTACAAATTATTTCTTATGCTTTGGTATTTATGAGAGRAAATATACAATAATTTTCCTGTTAAAACTAGTCTTCAAGTTATTGAAAGTTCGGTGTAAACTTAGCACAGCAAGGAGCCTTATAAAACAGCTTGGCGCTACTTCAACGCCCATACTACAACTCCTGACGTTTCTTTCAAAATAAACGACTGCACGGAAAGCAAAAATGATGTAGTTTATCAAGAAAAGTGGCACTGTTTAATGAATGAATTTTATAATGATTCTTTCTCTTTTCAGTTTGCTTTTTTTTAATATTTAAATCATAACATTTTACTATTATTACTTAATGGTTGAGATCCTATAACTGCAGAAAAGACTAAAGACGGACAAATACGCTCTCAGCCTTGAAACATGGTTGTTTAGAGCCGATATTTATCCATTRAAAAATTTGAAATATTTCTTAACTAATGACTCTGTCATCATAATCTTATCTTGTCACAAATGGCTTCCTGATTCAATAATTTAATTGTCACTTTGCTAGTTGTCTGGAAATGGTACTAGTTGACATATCGTGGGACTGTACCTGGTATTTTCTAAATGCCTCCCTGAATTTACTTATAACGATACAAGAAATGTTTTGAGACGAAAATGGTGATATTTGGGATTACCTGAATATTTTTCCCTTTTGTCTTTTGMGTTACGTTTCAGCGCGGTAGCTTCTATGCTTTATACTAGGTACGTAATAGTCCAGCAGATCGTTATTGAATTTTTGTGATTTGCTTTCGTATTTTCTTATATATTGCCATGCATATTATTGTTAGTTTTTCTATTCTTTGAAAGTTACCTGGAAATCAAATCTAGATAGATGAAATAAATGAACAATCAATCARTAAAATCAAATGGATTTCCTTCTTTTTCTTTTCATTTTCATTTCATTTTCATTTGTAATTTTTGCATCGTGAGTATTAATCATTCATAATGCATGTATGTGAACCAAAAAAATGATTASAATTACCGCGAAAGCCGGTAAATTATATATTATAGCCCGCTGGCTAAATTGTTATGAGCGGCCTGGTACTCGTCCCGGGTTGTACTCTGTTGGAACAACTGCTCACAACTGCTGATTTAACATTTGTACATAGATTAAAAACTAGTTAACGATCGTGGTAATCGCGAAATAGAAAGTACAAAAAGTAAGTTAGGCATTTTCGACTGGTTTTGATATGGTTTTTATGCTTTTTTCAAAGCTCTGTTTTGGCAGTGTCCGTACATCTCCTATTTCCCGACTTCAATGCAGCCGTAAMGAGTGACAGAGAGCAGAAACACAATAACTTGAAACATGTACGATTCCTGCGATTCTCTGTTTGATCGGATTGTTACCAACAACTAAAAAATGCAGGTATGCAATGAGTGTTCTTATTAAAAGGCGGCTCAAATAAAGTGAGTCCCCCACATCAAGTAAACCCGTTGGTGAAGGGGCAAAGGGGATCTCACAGGAGGTTTTAGGTAAAGGCGAGAGCCGACACCTTTTGACCAAATCAACAGAATCAAACAGTCAAGCTTTGGCGCGACTCAAAATTATTTCCTCTTTGCACATTAGTAAAATTAGCATGTCAAAATAAATGATTTTTTGATTGTTTAAATTAGTTCAAATGTATTTAGCTATTTTTGTAATGAGATTGCGTATGCTTATCCTCTTCATAAACATTTATTTTCTCTGGTAATTAGTTATTTAAAAACACCTTCAAAACAATCTCTTCGTGTATTCACGTAGTCGGAAACCCATAAACTTGATGGCGGATGTTTACAACCGAATTCTTAAATTTAAAAAAAAAATACGTGAGCTGGCGACGTAAAAAACTGACGTGCTCGCGTTCCTGTGGTCTTTCAGCAAGGAAATATTTTGCACCAGATAGTCTCTTTATCTCTTGWAGTTAACTGTATTATCTCAACAAAACGACCACATAAAAAAGTCACTTATCCATTCGTTTATCGGTTAGGTTTCCTGGCCGCTATCATCGGTAGCAGGCCGTGAAACCCTTATACGTCTAGCTAGAGGAGCTCAAAGTGTTATCGCGTTGTATTAGGGTACGCTTTTTAATGCACTAGCTTGTTCCGCTTACCATTTTAATTCAATGAAAACATGATTTGGAAAAAAACAGAAAAGCGTAAACAATTGATTATAATACTCCCCACCCCTCCCCACGTTAAAAACTCTTTTGGCAATGTTCTAAAGTCCATGACATCCATGACGAGGCGCCCAAAACCCAACGAAAAAGCGTCGTGATTACATCATTGTCCAGGAATGCGGAACATTCAGCGAGCGGTAGCTTGACATGGTTAGTTGCTGTTGTTGTTTATGGTAAAATGGATGTACAAAACAACTTACATTCATGATAATACCAATTATATGCAGTTACGTGTTAAAGTTTATAAACGTGTTATTATATTCTACTTACTATATCTAGTAAGTCTTCATTTTAGGATTTGAATAATTTTTGAAGAAAAAGTTTTTGATCGACTGAAATTCGCTCCACGTGTAATTTGAATTTCCTGTTTACATAGATTCTTTCGCGTACACACCCAGCTTAGYTTAAAATCGCGCAGCAATAATACAGAGGCAGAGCTTTTTGACGTTTTCTTTCGGTAGATAACAGTCGTTAAAGCAGCAGAAAAAGAAAATACTTTTAGATTCAAAGTCAAAGGAAAAAATAAATAAAAACTGAAAAATATGGAAAATCGGAGAAAAAAATACTCTATAAAAAGGGGTAATACTATTTTTTGTTTGTTGATTTTGTTTAGAAGACTTAGAAGCATTTTGAAGAAAACATTAATCAAAGTGTCCATATGGCATTTGTCCTCCTTGCGTGGACAGAAACGAAAATCGCTTTGATCAATATATTGGCATGGTACGGTATGCTTTTGAATCGTGTGTTATTGAGAAATATCTATCTTTAGGTCCAAACCACAAAAGGATTTCATTAGATCTGTGTTGACACAGATAAAGGCGACCGTTTGAGTCGCGCGGATGCCATGTTTTCGCATTTCACGGKTTCCAAGGAAATTTGACGTTTGACTTCCTACATTCTCTCTTCGACTTCAAAGACCACCCAGTCATTCAAAGTTGTTAGCGAGGATAAATTTGTCGACACATAGAAGCACGTTGTGACATAAACTAGGCGCCTGGTAAATGGATTCACCTTTTTCTTCTTGATCAGGGAAACGGAAAAACAAGTCGACCGAAAAGAACTTTTGAAATGAAATGGGCTTCCTGTGTAAAGTTTACACATGCAGGAATCGAAATCATCCTAAAGCCTTGTTCTTTGTGCATTTTTAATCGCTTCGAGCTAAAACATACTGAACATCTTATCTTTATAAAAGTGCATTGAAATGCGAATGCGATTTTTATCAAAGTAATGTTTGCTTTGTTTATCGTCCCACACGTGTCCACGAATTTATCAATATTGAAGTATCGTGTGCTGAAATTTGGAAATTATAAGTTCTAATTTCTCTACAAACACGTACATATCTTTCGCCTTTTACTAAAGATATCTTTGTATTATCCATTTTTTCTTTGCGCAGCTTTGAGGGCGGAGCCAAAAAATCAGTGAAGAATTCAGAAAATATTTAAAATCGTATCATATCGGTGAATTTTCTCGATAATCACTTCGGTTTTGACAATGCATGAGAATTTTATGAAATATTTCCTGAAACAAAAGACTCAAGAAAATGAAAGAACAAGATTTTGCGTCTTACTCAAGTGCGCATCGATGAAAATCGTGCGAAATCAAATGAAAAAGCGGAATGACAAAGAATTGTTAAACGTTTATTCATTTTTCCGAATTCTTATGTTACCTAGTGGCAACTTATCTTTCTGGTATAGCGGATGTGCTCAATACAATCAACTCTCGCTGTAACGAGCACCCTCGGGACCGTTATTTCGCGGGGGAAGAGGGGAACACTCCACTTTATTTACTATACGAAGACGTTCCGCCAAATAGGATTTGTTTTTTGACCTTCGCGTTCTTGAATAGGGTTCCTGTCCGTTCCTGGCCGGATCAATTTCCCCCCACCCCCTACC